TAATAGTTTTGAGCCATGTTGAAATGCCTAACAGTTCTGAGTCATGCTGTAAGTAATGCCTAATAATTCTGAGCCATGTGGTAAGTAATGCCTAATAATAGTTCTGAGCCAGGTTGAGCCATGTTGTACATCATGCCTAGTAGTTTTCAGCCATATTATCATAATGCCCCATGGGGATCCGGGTTAGAATAGGTCCTCAGTACCCCCTTGCTTGTCGTAAAAGGCGACTAAATGGGGCGGTCCTTCGGATGAGACCGTATAAACCGAGACCCCATGTCGCAGCAGGTGTGGCACGATAAAGATCCCTCCCTGCTCAATGGCCATGAGTGCCGAGCATAGGCCTAAATTTGCAGCCCTTCACCGGCAATGGTGACGTCTCCATATCAGTGAAATCAATAATAATGCCTAATTGTTCTGAGCCATATTTTAGATAATGCCTTAAGCCAAATAGTTCTTAGCCATGCTTTATGTAATGCCTAATATTCCTTGGATTTAAAGGCCGAGATTTTTAACCGTACGGTTTTCTCAGGTAAGGGGAGGGACAAATTTTATTCCCCGAGGCATTGACAATCAATACACAACAAACAGTATACACAGGAAGTCTATGTATTACCTGTACAGCTTGCTGGCCTACTGTTCATCATAAAATTAGTAGATCTCGACATCGTGAATAAAAAATATCATTATTAATAATAAATGATCTTTGCAAAATTCCATAATTTCAGACATATCTAATATCAAAACAAGCAGAAATCTCACCGGTCGACTTCTGATAAAAAAAAATCTACGGTATGGTGTACCTTACATTGTTCGTCAAAAATGACTTGAATTCGTTGTTTAAAAAAAATAATGAAATACAGGTATAAACTCAACAGTAAAATATTCATCCTTGTCTGTCCCTTTCAAAATCTTAAACACTATTCATAATAATCGTAAATATCGTAGCAATTAGAGCTTATTTCAAATGAGACAGTTACTTCCCGTTTGTATAAAAAGTCGCGTGGTCCTATTTTTAGCAAATGTACAGCTCAACAAACTTTTTAAGCTCACATGGTTTTTCGCACAAATTAAGGTCACATTGTTATAATGTAATATTGTGTGTTGGGACATCAAAATACAATTTAAAAGTATTTGTTTACATCAGTTGAGTTTTATTTTATTTACTAAAACATACTTCATACAAATCAATCGCTAGAACTTTAATATATTCTTGGCTGAAAAATAACAATTAGTTCTATTTGATTTTTTGTAATTTCTTGCCAATTGCAGCTGTCTTTTTATCCGTTCTTTTGAAAGCAGTAGCTCTTTGTAGAAATATAGACACGGGCACAGTACAGCTACTGTAACTTGTATTTTCTGTACATTCTGACTCTTTAGCGCAGGGTGTTAATAGTATTTTTCGTCTGTTTGACTGCTTTGTATGTTAATAAGGTGGCATTTTTCAGAGTCACCTTCTAAAAATCTAGAATCACGAAAGATTCATCCCACAGCAAAATTTTAACGTTTTAAACCTTAAATGCAGAAGAATTTTCGTTTTCATAGAAAAAATTTGCTATTAAAAAAAATAAACAATACTTCATTATCCTCCCCTGTAGTATGGTTTCTCTCCGCAATGTTATCCCTTTTCGGTGCTACATTTCGACAAAACCCAGATGAGTATGGTAAATGAGCAAAGAATTTTGTAAAATACTCACCTTTAAGAAGAAAATTAAAAATTTTCAACTACATTTTATAAAAGAAAGCACGTTTTATATCATTTGTAAAAAACCTATGGTAGAGGCCTATAATAGAAACATCGTACCATTTATTGATAAATTCCCCTCTAAAACATCCACTTTCGAAACTTAAGATAATACTTTTAAAGGACATTTATACTTGACATTGTATATGTAATATAACGTAGGGCTATGTCATCGTTCTGAGGTCCGAAAATATTAATTTTTATTACAAAAATGTACCTTAATTTGTGCGAAAAACCATGTGAGCTTAAAAAGTTTGTTGAGCTGTACGTATGGTATCTTGTGAAAAATTCGCCATAACGATGGTTTCGTCAAGTTAAAATTACATACAATTGTGTGTATTTTATCGATAAGTAAATTTAGATTATAATTAAAAAACTTAAAATAAAACATTGATTTATTGCTAACTTTTGTATTTCTTTCAAAATTATTTTTAACACCTTGAAGTGACTTGAACGGAGGTAAGAACCCGCGTAGCAAGAAATGCTCGGTTATAAAAAAGGAAAAGAAAGAAACTATTAATATTTTAATACTTGTCCAGGCGAAGTTGTTACTAATCAGACATTTTGTTTTCAACCTTACTATCCATTTCAAGCAAAAAATGTTAACAGTTTTTTTTTCTCCTTTATTTTCATCGTAAGTTTTTCGCCGCGTCTCAAAACAATAATCTTTTTACGAATGAAAACAAGATTTCAGTCATCTATGCACTTTTCATCAGAAAAAAAATTACACAATCTTGATTTCTTTAATTGAAACAATATGAGAACATTTTCATTTTTCAATGTTTGTAATACAGATAATTATAATCAATTAATTATAATCAAGCTAAAATTGTTTTCATCGAAATGGCTTCCTCATTGCGATGGTGAAGCGGTAAACATCAGAAGACCGAAAGTTAATTTGATGATGGCCACGCGTGTCAAACAAGGTGAGAGAGATATACACAGGGACTATAAGTGTCAATCATTTTCAAGTACCCAATGATGGACCTTAATTTATTTGATTGACAGGGGAATACAGACCAGGTAAATCTGAAGGCGGTGCTTATTATCTCGGGCTTTAAAAGGCTCACCAAATTCTATTCCTACAATCAAACAAAACGTTGCAACTGTTTACATTACATACCTGAATATCTATAAAAGAAAAATTGAATATAATCTCACAAATAGAAATTTAATGAAAATGTGCAATGGGTCTGAAACATTCTTCTTATGTTACACATGAAAAAATTAAGCTGCTGCATTATGTGCACCTAACATTAGTTTACAAGAGCATATCAAAACAATCTATTGGGTTATTTTGACCATAGTTTTAAACAAATTTCAGGCAACTGCAAGTCCTTATTTTAAGAGATATCAATGTAAAATTTTATGATTTGAATGTAGATCTGCAGCTATTTTTGGGAGATTATTTTATTGCAACCTAATTTGTAGGATTTACTGGTTGTTATATTTAATTTCTTTTTGTTTGCTACTTGATTTCTGGTACTTAGATTTTTCCAGTTAGCCCCCCTCTTCTCCTTTAAAATTCTTTTTCAAAGTCATTTTTTCCCCTCTAATCTTGAAAGTTAACATTTCTTAAACAAATAGTTATAGAAGCAACATCAAAAGCTATGCTGGCAGACATTGCTTATAATTTGGTGTCAATCTACAGTGGAACAGACAATTCAAGTATACATGTATACACACTCAACTAATTAATGCAATACAAAGGTGATTGAGGTACCTGATATACTGGACTGTTAATCTGTGATTATACTTATTTCAATGTCTGGTTTTCCAAACGATTTGAAGATAATTTTCAATGCCTTTCTTTGACTTGTAGTCTTGTATTTGGGTCCATGTCCACGAGAAGCTCCGACCGAGTTTCCTCATTGTTGTTCACATGCATAGGGCCTATTCTAGTTTGCTTTTGCCGGGTTTCGAAGCAGTATGAAACAAAAAGAGAGTTATTAATGTTGATAACCAACATTACATCATTGTAAAACAATACAAAGGTATAAGTAAACGATTTTTAGTATAACCGCGTGCGCGTCGTCTGCTTTGTCAAGTGTTTGAATCCAATCTCATCCGTCATAAATGCACATCAATAGTAATAACAGCGTTAAAATGGTTGAGAACAATGTATAAATGAAAAATCATACAAATTTTAAAGTTACAAAACTGTCAAAACAAAATTTCATGTATTTTATTGCAAGCAATTGTTATGCGTCTTTACCTTCGAAAGGTTCAGGAGAAAGGAATCTGAAGATCAAACCCGACCTTTTATATACTACACTTGATGTGTCAACCGAACCCGACCCCTAAAAGCCGACGTTCAAATAACAAATACTTGGGACCTATAAACTAGTTTATAGGTCCCTTCAAATATACTTTTCTCGTAAAATAAAGGCAACTATTTTGTATACACAAATAGATGCTATTGTTATTTCATATGAAGGTGGTGCTTTTTTATACTATGCCATGTTTTTTATGTGAAGGTGTTTTTTTTATGTAATGGTGCTTTTTTATGTGAAGGCGGTTTTTCATGTGATGGGGTTTTTAATGTGAGGTATTTTTTTATATTTAAAGGTGTATAGATACAGATTTGAAGTTAATATTTCTCATATTTTCTGTATAATACTACGTCTTATATATTGCAATAGCATTTCACAAGAAAATATAATAGAAAAATCTTATTTCATTTCTAGGTTATTGAAACTTCGGATTTCTGTTCGGGTCTGATCGACACGTCTTTGCACTTTCACAAATTATAATTTTATTTTTAATGCTTAAGAAAAGTGGCAGCTTTGTTGTGCATTAATGAAAAATATTAAAACTATAATACAGAAAATTCAGAGTTAAAATGTTCGAATGGAAAACGCGCTCGATCACACTATATTGTCAGTCCGTGCTCTACAGTGTGTGCAGACTTAAACAAATGAACACACCCGGTGAATCGTAAAAATAAAAAAAATAAAAGAGCTCGTGCGCTGTTTACAAAATCAGTTTATGTTTCACGAGTGTATTCAATTCGTTAAATTCCGTACAGAACACTGCGCACGGACTGACGATACTAATAAGGAGGTTTTACATTAACATGTAAATCTTTCATTAATTTTAATTAACATTTTTTCATTGTTTTCATTGCTGACTGGTACGGGGCTCACTAATTACAGTTTTTCCATTGTTGCAGAGTTTGTTTTATTTATTGTACTTCGTTTTCGACCATTCAATGACTGCTTCTACAAACTTGGTAGCTGAGTAAGTTAATTATTTTTAGGGATTGTTATAACACGGCTGGATGTAGCTGGTGCTCTAAGTCCAGTGAGTTAGCACGACTGGAGTTAGAATTCTGTACTGAGTGGGACTCCTGCTATTTTGGAATACGAGGAAACTCTCCAACGAAGTATTATAGACAAGGTAGAATATCGCAATAATCCCATTATGTGTTCAGGAAGAGATTTTTTGAAAATTTGATTGTGTAATTATGGTATTCAAATATGATTATTATATATACGTAGCTCTGGCATCAACTCTTGATTTTTTTTTTCTTATTCAATGTGGAAACTTTTATATTCGTACATAATATTGCATCAGGTTTATTCTTTTAACAAAACCGAAATATAAGTTGATTATTTCTGCATGTCTTCATTATATCCATGCGTATATCATGTTTAATGATAGTATTCTATCCTTTGCGATAAGTGCATAAACATACAACAGATAGAATTTCGAAATACTCCGAAGAAGCTAAAAAAGATAACATTGCTGGTGATCTCATGTATTTCATCGTTAATTAACTTTATCAAAATACTTAAATCCAATAAAATTTTCTTTCTCTGATAGATAATGGAAAATCAAATGGACACCATCCAGAATCCAATTTTGAGATTTCTATATTGCTCATCATCGGCCCAGTGGTGATTTTTCTCAGCTTGATTTCCAGCGCGAGTGTCCTAATTTTATGGCTGAAAAGAAGAAAAATATACTTGAAATCTAAAAGGATTCCCTCCACCCTTCCAGCGAGAGCGGACGGTGTTCCCCCGACAGAGAATGGGTACACACATGTCGTCACCAGGGTGTTCCCAGATACCCCATATGTCTCACGCGTACAGTTTGGAAACGTTGTTTACCATCATAACTTTGTGTTTGACCACTCAACTTGACAAACAATTTTCAAATTCCGTATGGCCTTCATACATGTTTAACATATTTAAATTACATTTCATCGATTTTTTTTCTATTTATTTTGTTGTATTTGCTTCATTTCTACTTCAGTCGTCAACTTCTCTTACTGATGCAGCTATATACTATCATCACTTGCATTCGGATGTTTTATCGCTCAGTTGATTCGATTCGCAAAAGCATGCTCTGCGTATGTACAATTTCTAAAACGAGGTAAATTGCTGACAAACACGTCAATGAAACAAGAATATAAGCAGTCTAGATTAAAGTCTTTATCACCTGTATACGGAGTTTGTAGCTCCCATTTGATTTGATACGCAAGACCAGCATGATCTACTTATGCACAATTTCTAAAAGGAGGCAAGATGCTGACACACAAGTTGATGAATCGAGAATATTACCAGTCTCGAATAAAGTCATCATTTTGCAAGTTTTATGGTCGATATAATGTCTCTGCCAGGAATCACAAACAAGGAAGCCATATCTCCAACACTACCAAATTTGCATATAACGGTTTAGATTATTAAGTACCAGTCCACATAAAAATCAGACAAAGGGTGATATATGAGGGTTCTCAGAATTTGATGATTTTCCACTCATAGATTTATTTTGAAGTATGAACAATGTATGTAAAATGAAAAATGTTTTGAGTCATGGTAACCATGGAGACCCGGCCAAAGAAATTTCCTTAGCGACCGGCGGATTTTTCAGTGTTGAAGGACAAAAAATCACCTATATTTGAGGCTTAAAATAACATGTAAATACCATGAGAATTATTCTTACTTATGGGTGTAATACAGATACACATTTATTGTGTTCTAATAATGTAATAAAAAATATTTAGGTCTTAAGTCAGTTCTGTGGTAGACATTGGAAGGTACACATGTTTTACAAGTTTTGCTGATTCAGCATTTTTCGTGATTTTGGCAATATTCAAGGCCAAATTTTAATACAGTTGTTGCAAGTATCTCACATAAAAGCAGAGGTATTTCTCTTTTAGAATTTGAAGTCAAATCCATGGGCTCTTTTGAAAATCGAATCTGTTGCCTAGCAACAAAAATGGGCTTTTTGATGCATAAAATGAGAAACAATGTAAAAAGTTTACGGAAAAATCAAATGAACTGTTATTTATAATAAACGAGATACAAATTTCAAAATAGTATGATAAAATTCGATCTCCCTAGCACATTATTGAATATTGCATAATTCTTTATCTCCATAGCAACGGCAGGTTCTCCATAGCAACAAGGCAAAGAAAGGTAATTTTGGCGTGTATTCGTGTAATCTTATTAAGGTTTATTTAAAATAAGTCAGAAAAATCCGGTTGAGCAAAATTGACAATGAAATGTTGGTTTTATTATTATTGTTTTTTTTTTGGTAATTAATCAACCCATATGGCAAGGATTCCGTGTACATGTCAACCAAAGTTCCTATGTCTCCTGTAAAACAGATTTGACTTTGGGATTGTATTGTTTGTCGTGGAATTGGATATGCAAGTAATATGCTGATAATTGCATGGTGATATTTCGGAAAGACTTTAAAATGGTGTATCAAGTTATTGAATATTGTTCAATGACTTATTTCCTTAGCAACAACACCACTCTCCTAGCAACGACACAAAGAAAGTTTGACGCATATTCATGTTACCTGTAGATCTTTATCTAAATCACATCATGAAGACAAAAATGATGTTGAAATGTTTGTTTTTCGAAAGTATTTTTAAACTCATGTAATCCATAGCAACTATTTCTAGCACATAGCAAACAATGTTACATTTTTAGTATGGGATACTCTGTAGTCGTTATTCATAATATTGAAAGATAGGCACTCGTCACAGATTTCTCAGAAAGTATTACAAAGTATGAATTAATTCCTCATGAAAATAAATAGATAAATAAAATGAATAACGTCACTATGGAAACATTTCCAATGATATTTCCAATTGAATAGGAAGATCAGGTTTTAATTATTCTATTGATACTTGTCATAGATTGGAGAGTTTTTTTTTCCAAACGAAAAGAACCGTTCGCGGTAGCTCAAAGGTAGCACCTACTGCGTCCCACAGTGGGATTCGAACCCGCGACGTAAGGATCAGCTCTCTACTTCGTGACTCTAGTGAAGACATTCTAACCTCTGCTCCATGAGGGCGACGCGGCACATTAAAATAAATCAAAATAAGAAAAGTCGCATCGCAGTCAGTTACGGTTATTTACGTAAAATTGAAGTTTACACCATTTGAAAGAAATATTGCAAGATGATACAAATGAATTTAAAACATGGCAAGTCACACAAGTAGAAACTTTATTTTTGTACGTTGTTTGGTGAGATTTGCATTTATGTAGTGCAAACATATTTCAAAAATTATGCAAACAATGGTCAGAGGGTAATCTTCATGTATCCGGTTAGTTCATATCTTAAAATGGAAATATACAAAAGCAAAACAACTGACATCGAACTCATACATGTAACATGGGCCACATCGATCACCTGAGCACTGTGGTTATGTACTTTTGTGGTCCCACCCAATCCTGGGGGGTCATGTTTTTAACAAATCTTTATATAAACTACCTGAGGATGCTAACATTTGAACAAGACTAATCAAGATTTTTATATATTTTTCCTATATATTCCTATGTAAAACTTTGATCATCCATTGTGGCTGTACCACCGGGGGTCATGATTTAAACAAACTTGAATCTACACTACCTGAGGATGCTTCCATATAAACATGACCATTCATGGCTTTGCTGTTATTAAGAAGATTTTTCCTATATATTCCTATGTAAAACGTTGGACGTCCATTGTGGCCCCACCCTACCACCTGGGGTCATGACTTGAATAAACTTGAATGTACACTACCTAAGGATGCTTCTACATAAGTGTCATTTTTCCTGGCCCAAAGTTTTTACATTAATTGATACCAGTAATTTATACTGATATGGTGGCAAGAAGTATAAAATTCAAGTCCACCCCTTCCCTTCCGCAAGTAAACTTTTGAGTGCTGAGCTGATTTGTTTTTACCTAGCCCATGTGCTCAGGTGAGCGATGTTGGAGGTTGCTCCCACTACTTTGATACGCGTTGCTATTGGCCTGTTCTCTGGGTAATAGCGTTTGAAGCTCCAGAGCTACAGATTCTTTGTGAACTGAATAAGTGTCAGCTTCCAAACAACAAGTTAAAGATACAAGCTTATAAATATCTTATCTTTTCACTTTTGAAAAATGAAAATTATCTCAAATGAACACAATATATGCTAGATAAACATTACCAGGGTTAAGGGTTTTATTAGAAGTACAGTCTGTTCACAATTTTGTGTGCTTGCTCATTTCATATTCATGTTTTCTTTCACTGCATTTAATTTCCAGTATTTTGCATAGGATTTCCGACATGCTTAAAATTTCAATTCCTACAATTTTATTTCATTTCCGACATTTTTTGTATTTCTTGGATATCTGCAGGATCCCTTTCTGACCATTTTTTTTGCTTGCCAAACAGCTGGAAATAAAATTTTAAATAAATTTATTTCATGTTCAAACTAGAACTGTCCAAACGGGACAAAATACCCCCCGCTGGGTTTTTCAGAAGTACGTTTTTCCAAAATAAAGATATGTATCAAACACGAATTATGAATTCTTTCTTCCAGTGACCTTGAATTCCCCAAATAACCTTGTGTCAAGGTCATGACACACCCTTGGGTCATGGGCAATCTTTGAGTGAAATGAGAACCTACCAAGTTTATCCATAAGAAAGATATGGACAGGTCACGAATTATGAAATTTTTCTTCCAGTGACCTTGAGTTCCCCAAATGACCGGGGTCAAGGTCATGACACACCCTTGGGTCATGGGCAATCTTTGAGTGAAATGAGAACCTACCAAGTTTATCCATAAGAAAGATATGGACTGGAAACGAATTATGAAATTTTTCTTCCAAGGACCTTGAATTCCCCAAATGACCTTGGGTCAAGGTCATGACACACCCTTGGGTCATGGGCAATCTTTGAGTGAAATGAGAACCTACCAAGTTTATCAATAAGAAAGATATGGACCGGAAACGAATTATGAGATTTTTCTTCCAGTGACCTTGAGTTCCCCAAATGACCTTGGGTCAAGGTCATGACACACCCTTGGGTCATGGGCAATCTTTGTGTGAAATGAGAACCTACCAAGTTTATCCATAAGAAAGATATGGACCAGACACGAATTATGAAATTTTTCTTCCAGTGACCTTGAGTTCCCCAAATGACCTTAGGTCAAGGTCATGACACACCCTTTGGTCATGGGCAATCTTTGAGTGAAATGAGAACCTACCAAGTTTATCCATAAGAAAGATATGGACCGGACACGAATTATGAAATTTTTCTTCCAGTGACCTTGAATTCCCCAAATGACCTTGGGTCAAGGTCATGACACACCCTTGGGTCGTGGGCAATCTTTGCGTGAAATGAGAACCTACATGTACCAAGTTTATCCATAAGAAAGATATGGACCGGACACGAATTATGAAATTTTTCTTCCAGTGACCTTGAATTCCCCAAATGACCTTGGGTCAAGGTCTTGACACACCCTTGGTCATGAGCAATCTTTGTGTGAAATGAGAACCTATCAAGTTTATCCATAAGAAAGCTATGGACCGGACACGCATTATGAAATTTCTCTTCCAGTGACCTTGAACTTCCCCAAATGACCTTGGGTCAAGGTCATGACACACCCTTGGGTCATACGCAATCTTTGTGTGAAATGAGAACCTACCAAGTTTATCCATAAGAAAGATATGTACCAAACATGAATTATGAAATTTTTTCTTCCAGTGACCTTGAACTTCCCCAAATGACCTTTGTTCAAGGTCATGATACACCCTTGGGTCATGGGCAATCTTTGTGTGAAATGAAAACCTACCAAGTTTTTGCCATAAGAACGATATGGACCAGACACGAATTATGAAATTTTTCTTCCAGTGACCTTGAACGTCCCCAAATGACCTTGGGTCAAGGTCATGACACACCCTTAGGTCAT